ATTGGCTGCAGCAAAAGCTGCTGTGATCTCTGTTGGTGAAGAGATTGCAAGCCAGGGATTACCATTAGGAATCTGCCCTCTTGTGTTTGTCTTCACCGGGACAGGAAACGGTATAACTTCTTTGATCCTGAGGATGTTTCATTACAGTTCATTTAACTTTCTTCATCTTGCAGTTTCTCTGGGGGCGCAAGAGATTTTCAAGCTTCTTCCTCATACTTTTGTTGAACCGAGCAAGCTTCCTGAACTATTTCTGAACAAAGGAATTAGCCAAAATGGAAAATCAACAAAGCGAGTCCATCATGTATATGGTTGTATTGTTACCAGCCAAGACATGGTTGAACACCAAGATCCATCAAAGTCGTTTGACAAAGTAACACTTTCCCAACAGATTAGCTCCATGGCTGTTACTTTTTGTTACAGTGCTATTAACTCTATTCATTATTTATCATCAGGCTGACTATTATGTACACCCGGAACACTACAATCCAGTTTTCCATGAAAAGATAGCCCCTTATACATCAGTTCTTGGTTAGATCCTGATCTCTCTACTTTGCCTTTTAGTTCATGAATTTAAGCACAAGCAAATATCGTTTAATTAACTATGACTCTTTGTTCAGTGAACTGTATGTACTGGGAGAAGAGGTTTCCTCGTCTTCTGAGCACTAAACAGCTTCAAGATTTAACAGCAAAAGGATGTCCACTAGTGGGAATATGTGATATAACTTGTGATATAGGTGGCTCCATTGAGTTTGTTAACCGAGCTACTTTAATAGACTCTCCTTTCTTTAGGTAATCTAAACCTTGAAAGAGCATTCTTGTCAGTCTTTTACTACAACTATCTGAAACGTTGAGTTGATAACTATCTTTAGGTTTAATGCCACAAACAATACATACTATCAAGACATGGATGGTGATGGTGTGCTATGCATGGCTGTGGACATTCTACCAACAGAATTTGCAAAAGAGGTAAGGAGATTACAGTTTTTAGTACTTAGACTGATTCTTCAGTTAAAAAACTCTGAATTGATTTGGAGTTTCTTGTGTGAATGAAAAAGGCATCCCAGCATTTTGGAGATATTCTTTCCGAATTTGTTGGTAGTTTGGCTTCGATGACTGAAGTTGCTGATCTACCAGCACATCTGAAGAGGGCTTGCATAAGCTACAGAGGAGAGTTGACATCTTTGTATGAATATATTCCACGTATGAGGAAGTCAGATCCAGAGTATGTTCTTCTTCAACCATTACTTCATAAAAATTATCTGAAGTGACTATTAGGCTTCTTCTCTAAACTCTTGTATATACACTTCAAAGCAGAGAAGCACAAGATAACATCACCAACGGAGCTTCTAACCAGAGAACATACAACATCTTGGTGAGTTTTAAAGAAGAAACTTGTTTCATGTTGTACGTTTCCAACCAGAGAACATACAACATGAGACAAAGCTGTTTTCTACAAAGACCCAATCTCTTGAGATCACTTGTTTAAGGACAAGGTTCTAAAGCAAGAGAGCAAATATAACTCTTTCAAACCATATGCCTTAAGAAAATATTGAGATATTCACATGCGTTTTGGAGATTCTGTCTCAGCTTATTGTAATGATTTTGACTGAGACATTAATTTTGTAGGTATCTCTAAGTGGACACCTGTTTGATAAGTTTCTGATAAACGAAGCTCTCGATATGATCGAAGCTGCTGGTGGCTCATTTCATTTGGCTAAATGTGAACTTGGACAAAGCGCAGACGCTGAGTCATACTCAGAACTTGAAGTAAGTGTTTTCCTCTGTTTAAAAAACTCAATCATAAATAACGTGCAGCTGTCAATAATTTAATGTCAGGTTTAGGTTTGATGTCCTAATCAATTAGTGTCTTAAGTTTCTAGAACACGTAACTACAACTACAAGCCAAAAAAGAATATGGTCCACTATTTTAACCTGTTCTCACTTGATAAAGATTCCTTGCATTATCTTATGTAGGTTGGTGCAGATGATAGGAAAGTATTGGATCAAATAATTGATTCATTAACTCGATTAGCTAATCCAGATGAAGACTATATAATATCTCCACGTAGAGAAACAAATAAAATTTCACTGAAGATTGGTAAAGTCCAGCAAGAAAACGAGAAGAAGCCTGAAGAAATGACAAAGAGATCATCGGTTTTGATTCTTGGCGCTGGACGTGTGTGTCGTCCAGCTGCTGAGTTCTTAGCTTCAGTCAGAAACATTTCTTCACAGCCATGGTATAAAACTTATTTAGGAGGAGACTCTGAAGAACAAACAGATGTTCATGTGATTGTTGCATCTCTTTATCTAAAAGATGCCAAAGAGGTAAGTAAATACTAAACTAATGTTTTCAAGTGTCATTATCTTTTTTGCTGAAGTGATTAAAAATATGTTGCAGACGGTTGAAGGTATTTCAGAAGTGGAAGCAGTTCAGTTAGATGTGTCAGATAGTGAAAGCCTCTTTAAGTATGTCTCTGAGGTATGTCTCTTAAATTCTCTGTTGTTAAATTAATCTTACTCCAAACTATAGTTTCTCAAGTACCTTAAAAGTAATATTTTTCTTGGATTTTCCTATATAGGTTGATGTTGTCTTGAGTTTATTACCTGCAAGTTGTCATGCAGTTGTAGCAAAGACATGCATTGAGGTAAGGAACTACTCTCAAACCACTAGACTTTTCCTCCTGCTACATAACACATTCTTGTTTTTTGATTCTAAGTGCAACTGCTTCCTCTTTGTGATTCACTCAGCTGAAGAAGCATCTTATCACTGCTAGCTATGTTGATGATGAAACATCCATGTTACATGAGAAGGCTAAGAGTGCTGGGATTACTATTCTTGGCGAAATGGGACTGGACCCTGGAATCGGTATGACATCTCACATAATAGTTTCTTATAACTGAGAAGGTGATCACTATAATGAAACTTGCAGATCACATGATGGCAATGAAAATGATCAACGAGGCACATATCAGAAAGGGGAAAGTGAAGTCTTTCACCTCTTACTGTGGTGGTCTTCCCTCTCCTGCTGCAGCAAACAATCCATTAGCTTATAAATTTAGGTACTCCTGTCATTCACGCCATTAAATTATCATTAATATCATTCCATGACCTCTTACTCAGCTACATATCTACAATCTCAGCTGGAATCCTGCTGGAGCAATTAGAGCTGGCCGTAACCCTGCCAAATACAAAAGCAACGGCAACATAATACATGTTGATGGTATGATAGATAAAAGAAGGTTGAAGTAGTTTAACCTTATTACACATATCGTTTATGTTTGACCAAGTGACATAAACTGCAGGGGAGGATCTGTATGATTCAGCCACAAGGTTCAGAGTACCTAACCTTCCAGCTTTTGCACTGGAGTGTCTTCCAAACCGAAACTCGTTGGTATACGGGGAACATTATGGTATTGAGAGTGAAGCTTCAACGATATTCCGTGGAACACTCAGATACGAAGGCATGTGTTACATAATCACAAGTCACATGTCCACTTATGAAGGTTTTAACACTTGTTTTGTACAGGGTTTAGTATGATCATGTCAACACTGTCAAAACTCGGATTCTTTGACAATGAAGCAAATGAACTACTCTCTAGTGGAAAGAAGATTACGTTTGGTGCTCTTTTAAGTAACGTTATAGTGAAGGATGCAGACAATGAATCTGCAGAGGCTCTAGCCGGAGAAGAAGAGATCAGCAAGAGAATTATCAAGCTTGGACATTCTAAGGAGAGTGCAGACAAAGCTTCCAAAACAATTATGTAAGCTAAATCTCTAGACTTGTTGCTGTGTGATGATACTAAATCTTCTTTGCAACATAACCTTAAGGCTGATTCTTTTTGTGGTGTCTTAGGTTCTTGGGGTACAATGAAGAGAGGGAGATTCCTTCATTGTGTAAAAGTGTGTTTGATGCAACTTGCTATTTAATGGAAGAGAAGCTAGCCTATTCCGGAAATGAGCAGGTCTCTCATTGATAACTTTGCTTGTCTCTTTCTTGAACTTGATGTTGTTTTGCTGACATATTATTTGGGACAATATATATTCAGGACATGGTGCTTCTGCATCACGAAGTAGAAGTGGAACTCCCTGAAAGCAAACGTACAGAGAAGCACACTGCAACTCTCTTGGAGTTTGGGGAAATCAAGAACGGGCAAATGACAACCGCTATGGCCAAGACTGTTGGGATTCCTGCAGCTATTGGAGCTCTGGTTCTTACACTGATCAACACTTCTTTTACTTATATCTCTCTTAAGATACACTTCTAAACATATTATTCTGATGATGTGTGCGTTGCAGCTGTTAATTGAAGACAAGATCAAGACAAGAGGAGTCTTAAGACCTCTCGAACCTGAGGTCTATTTGCCAGGTAACTTTGAGGATTCGACTTCAAAACTAGTCATATTATTTTCAGATGAACACAATGATGTTGAACTAGTGATTTTGTGGTGGTATGTACAGCTTTGGATATATTGCAAGCATATGGTATAAAGGTGGTGGAGAAGACAGAATGATTTTCTTCTTTCAAAGAACTCTTTATACTGTTTCTCTATAGCTTGAAGACTAAGCTGGAGAAGATTGAGAGACGAACTCTGTAGACTATGTATACTAATATGTTTATATGAATGTGTACAAAAGAACTCGTGTCCATAAATACCAGTGGACGTATAGTAAGTGATCATATAATATGTGTATACATATATTTAAATAATTTTTAAGCCTAATATGGTTGTTATTTCCAAGTGTCATTAAACACACTCCAAGTAGCTTTCCAAGACAAGATTCTTGCTCTTTACCAATTCACTTTTCCCTTCGTATTGACTGGGAAAAAAAATCAATGGTTTTGTTGATATAGTCTCGGGAAGTGTTGATTTTGACTAACTTGATCAGATCCCATCTATAAATTCACCCCGCTTATGCAACAGTTTTAATCTCATTCCAAAACAAAAACTTCATTTCACTCCTTATACTATTAAACTCAAATCTTCAAGAGTTCAAGAAAATGGACAAGAAAGATAATGGTGCAAAATCTGGCAATGTAGCACAAACTGGTGGCACTGCAGGATCTGGTTCGGGGAATATGGTGGCGCCGGGTACTGGAGGTGCAGTTCAGATACCCCGTGATGGTTTTGAAAGAAACACTAAGGCTTATTTTGACAACCTTCATGCCAAGGACAAGGCAACTAAGTGAGAAGTGCTTAGTGGTTAGATAAGAATGATCTGCAGCTTTGTTGTTATGCTCCTATGATGTGGTTATCCTATTATGATCACAATTTAATAAAATAAAATGAGTTATTATTTCTCTTGCTTTTGTTTTCTTGTTCTATAATTTATCGTGTACTAGATCATATTCTATTACACTACATTAATCCTTCTTGGTCACTTAGCAAGCGTTTTATTAGTCTTCAACAAAGCTTAAATTAATTTTACAATATTATTGGTTAAAGACGGATTTATATATATCAGTCAAACAATATTTAGATTAGTTCTTACATATTGGTTGATAGTTCACCTGATTATCTTGTGTTTGATAAGTTTTCTTACTGTTGTCATGTCATTGTATAACTCTTCAACAAATTCAGATAAATTTTTAATATAATATATGACTGGTTCATGTCATCTTCGTGTGTATATATAGGAACTTCATATGATATACCAAAAACATCTAATTAAATTATTGAAATGTAATTGAAAACTTTGAAGTACACATTATTTGAATAATTTGATACCAAACTAAGTTTAGCAAAATAAAAAAAACATTATAAATTTAACGCTAAAAGGTGACAAATTCTAAGTAATTTCATTTGGGTTTGCTACTTCTTCCCCTCCCCAAGAATCTTTCTTGGTTTGTTCGCCTACTTTCATGTTTATACAATACAATGTCACTTTAAAACATGAATACTATAGTTCTGCACGGGATAGATAAATGACACAATGATTTTCTTTTGTTGAAAAAAACTCTATATATTGTTTCTCTATAGCTTGAAAACTAAGAAGCTGAAGAAAATGGAGAGAAACTCTGTAGATAGATGTTTTTTTTTTGAAACTCTGTAGATAGATGTGTATATGAATGTGTGTACAATGAACTCGTGTCCACAAATATCAGTGGACGTATAATAATTAATAAGTGATCATATTATGTGAATACAAATTTTAAAATAATTTTTAAGACTAATATGACTGCTATTTCCAAGTGTCACTGAAAACCTCCAAGTAGCTTTCCAAGACAAGACTCTTGCCCTTTACCAATGCACCTTCCCCTCGTATTGAATGTTGATATAGTCTCGGGAAGTGTTGGATTTGACTAACGTGATCAAATCACATCTATAAATTGACGACCCACATCTTCGACAGTTTTATTCACTATCCTAAAACAAAACTCATTTCACTCCTCATACTTAAACTAAACTCACATCTTCAAGATTTCAAGAAAATGGACATTAACAAGAAAGATGATGGTGCAAAATCTGGCAATGTAGCACAAACCGGTGGTTCTGGATCTGGTTCGGGGAATATGGTGGCGCCAGGGACTGGTGGTGCAGTTCAGATACCTCGTGATGCTTTCGAGGCCAACACTAAGGCCTACTTTGACAACCTTCATGCCAAAGACAAGGCCACCAAGTGAGAAGTGTTTAGTGGTTAAATAAGAATGATCTGTACCTTTGTATGCTCCTATTATGATCACAATTTAATAAAATAAAATGAGTTATTATTTTTCTTGCTTTTATTTTCTTGTGCTATAATTTATCGGGTACTAGAGCATTCTATTACGCTGCAGTATAATCCTTGGTCACTCCACAAGCATTTTATATGTCTTCAAATAAAGTTTTAATTGGCTTTATTATATATCACTCTTATACAAAATATAGATTAGCTTTTACTTATTGGTTGATCGTTCACATTAGCTCTGCGGATTGAACCGAACGAAAATTTTGATTTTCGGTTCACCTATGTTTATGAATTTGGTTTGGTACGTAAAGCTTTTCAAAATCATTTTGGTTACCGGTTGGGTTCTAAAGCACTGGATGGTTAACCGACATTATTCTTTAAAAAAAAAATTATATCAAAACTAAACTGGTTTATACCGAAACAGGGCTGATGTTAACAAATAATCAATTTAACTTAACCAATGTAATCGAGTTCACCTGAAAATATCCGATTTTTACTGATTTAAACCAAATTTTCATTTTTATACAAAAAAAAAAAATTGGTTTATTTCGGTTTTGAAATTAAAAACCGAAATAACCGAACTTTATTCTGTTAATTTTGGAATTATTTTTAAAATTTTTGATCGGCTAAGTTTCGGAACATCTTGTGATTGTACGTTTTCTTACTGTCGTCAATGACATTATATAACTTTTTTAACGATGACAAACAAACTTCAGATAAATTTTACAATAATTCGGTTCTGTTCTGGTATTTATACATGTATATGAATGTGTGTACAAATCTTAATGAACGTATAATAAGTGATCATATTATATTTGTGGACAAAATAATTAGTACTACTTGTTAAGCCTAATATGGTTGTTATTTCCAAGTGTCATTGAACACCTCCATGCAGCTTTTCCAAGACAAGACTGTTGCTCTTTGCCAATTCACTTTCACTTCGTATTGACTGAAAAAAACCAATGGTCTTGTTGATATAATCTTGGGAAGTGTTGATTTTGACTAATTTGATCATATACCCATCTATAAATTCACCCACCTCTTCAACTGTTTTATTCTCATTCCAAAACAAATCTCCATTTCATTCCTCAAACAAAAACTAAATTCGTTTCTTCAAGAGTTCAAGAAAATGGACAAAAAAGATGGTGTCGCTAAATCTGGTAATGTAGCACAAACCGGTGGCTCTGGATCTGTTACGGGGAATATGGTGGCGCCAGGGACTGGTGGTGCAGTTCAGATACCTCGGGATGCTTTCGAAGCAAATACCAAGGCCTATTTTGACAACCTTCATGCCAAGGACAAGGCAACTAAGTGAGAAGTGTTTAGTGTTTAAATAAGGATGATCAGCACTTTTTATTGTTTATGCTCCTATGATCAACACAATTTAAATAAAACGAGTTACTTTCTATTTGCTTTTCGTTTCTTCTTCTATAGTTTATTGGGTACTACCGTACTAGAGCATTCTATTACGCTGCGATTAATCCTTCTTGGTCACTTAGCAGTTTACTTTTTAACAAGCATTTTATTATTCTTCAAGCAAAGTTTTAAATTAATTTTACAATAGTATTTGGTTGCAGATGGATTTGTATATCAGTCTTTAGCAAAATTTAGATTAGTTTTTACATATTTGTTGATAATCGTTCACGTTATCATCTTGTTTTGATAAAGTTTTATGTCGTCGTCAATTGCATCATAATATAATATTTTTAACCATGGCTTTATAAGTCTTCAAAAACGTTTACACTAATTTTACAATATACCATAGACATCTAATGAGATCACTGAAATGTAACTAAAACTTAAATTTTTAATATATGTACATCAAGTGAAAAAGTTAGTTAGATAATCTGAAACCAAACTAAGTTTAGCAAAAAAAAAGTAAATTAATGCTAAAGGTGACAGTTTAAAAAGCTAATTCCATCTCAGGTTGCTACTTATTCATCCCATCAAGCGTTCTTGGTTCTTTCATGTTTATACAATACAATGTCACTTTGAAACAGCAATACTATTAAATGTTTCAACACTTTGTTACTAGCCATGAGAGAATCTGTTGCTCCACCTCTTCCCAATTATGAACTCTAGTCACCAAAGGATGTCTGTCCACAGACTCAGTTTTAGACCAAGGGTATGAGTTTTCATAGTCAAACAGGAGAACCTTCATCCCAATGTTAGCGCATTCCTCTGCATATCTCGGGTTATCATCAATCAATATCTCTGCTCCAAATGATCTACAGTTCCATTTCTTGGATTATTAGCCCATCAAACCACATGGAAGGTGTTTTTAAGTTTTAGTCTGCAAATATTAATGTGAGTTGATTATGTATGCACCTGCAGATTTCAGACTTGGGTTTAGACTCTCCATGAAGAGCAAAATGGTTCCCGAAGTGAATCTGTTTAAATAGTCCTGGGAAATGCATGTCCAGCCACCCAAGTGTGTGATCCTTTATCGCATTCTGCCGGGACCTATCCAATGATATAAGAACACACACATTCAGGTTTTTAGAACGATATGGTCAAGAGTTAAGCAGAGAGAAGGTCACAGAGCATGGCCACTTACGTCACAACTGAGAGTTCGCAGTAACTTGATAGCTTGTGAAGAGTCTTATGGGCACCAGGAAGAGGATGGATCCCTTTCTTGAAATATGGTGTCTTAAAGAATTCATGAACACGTATGTCAGCTGCAGGAAAACAACAGTTTTAACATACCAACATGATTAGCTCGCACTAAAATTGCTGAAACACAAAAAGTATTGAGAGCAACTAATCAGCTAGCCACTTGATTAATGCTATAGCTTCAAGAAAGGCCAAGGATAATACCTTCATTACGAGAGCAATTCCATATCTGTAACAAAAAAAAATAAGACACAAGTTTAAGGAAAGCCAGCAACGTTTTAACTGTATAGTAAAAGGCAACGCAAGAAGGGTTCCTGAGTTTTTATATGCTTTGGTGATAACTTGAAAACATAAAAGATGGAGCAGACTTCTACAAAAACCTCTTCACCCATTCAAATTCCTTATATCAAGGTGAGGTATTATACAAAGTAATCAAGCGCAGGGTACTGTGGTTTATAAGTGAAGCATTGAACTCCTATATCCTTATCATAAGCCAGAGATAGCAATCCATCTTATATTATGAACTTCTCCTTAAAAGTGTTTATTTAAAAGCTAACTCTCCTTAAAAGTGTTTCTTACGAGTTAACTAATGGAAAGCTCAAAAAAAAAGAGAAGAATTTCTCGTTTCATACCCTGAAGAACTCGTAGACATGGTACTCTGAGACTGAATGGTTTGACAAATAGCGGTCGGCAATGAACTTGTTAAGGGCCGAGACAAAGTTTCCAAGAACTGCTTCCATAAAAAGACCATAAGATGAAGCAAAGCTTAAATCATTGGCTCAATAAAGAGAGAGAAAATTATGAAGTCAGTGTACAAAGACAACACTTAATCTCCAGTTGAAAACAGAATCGCCACTATTCAACACACATCACATGAAAAGATTCAAAGATATCAATTTTAATACACAGTTCCTCGTATGATCCCATTAGTACGGCCAAGCAGATTCGAATCAGTAAACATATTTCCAGATTCAACTACTACACACAATCCATAACATTTTATATACTTCTCAGCTTGTGACTATATCACTCATTGACTCTTAAAGTCTAAAACTTTCTTAGAACCCATTTAACAATTCAATATAACTCATAACAAAAACATATTAAAAAACAATTTCTCCCTATAAACATAACCATCATCAAAGAAGAAGAAGGGAAGATAACAACATACCCTCATCAATGTCAACAGCCACAACAATCTTCCTATCATTCCCTTGCAACCTCTTCGTCTCACCAACTCCACATCCATCCGCTAGGTCAGTAACTCCGCCGCCGCCGCGTTGTTCTTCCCTGGGGCCATGGAGAAGCCGACGATGCAGAGACAAAGCTCGAGCCTTTGGATCAGCCTTCTTGTGAGAAGAATCAAAACAGCTTCTCAAAGTTAATCCCTTTCCTCCATAAGAGCGAGCGTTGTTATTGTAAAAATCAATGGGACTGAGTCTACGAACCAATCCTCTGTTACCGATGGATCGATGAGTGCGGATCGATCGGAGAAGACAAGGATCGGTGTAATAAGAAGCAGAAGAAGACATTGTTGGGGATTGTGAATCGAATCGTGAGATTCTGGAGAGGATGGAGATGGAGTGTCTCTTTAACATAACGAAATCTCTCTTTCTCGTCTCACATTACACCATCCACCACAATATCTAGTAATCAAATCTAAGGAGACACCCTAATCGAATCTGGGGAACAAAAATAAATTAAAAAAAGTTTTTCTTTTAAGACAGAGAAAGAAAAGCAGAAGTCTTATGAGAGGAGGAGGCTCTCCAACGTAATAATAATCATGCATTCAAGCACTTTGCTGGGGACTAAAAAGTTAAAACCCACCATTAGTCATTTTAATTTAAAAGATTAGATAAAGATTAATCCCCTAAAAATACTATAGAATATGTTCTTCACCTACAATTACGCCGTGGCCTTTACCAATTGAACGGCGAAATAAAAGACACACATCTTTAATAGGTCGGTCTCAATCTTATGAATTCTGTTTTGTTTTGGATCTATTAATATTTCTTTTTTTTTTAATCATCTTTTAATTAATAATATATAAAAACAAAATGATTTGATTCCGGTTCAATTGGTTTAAACTGGTTTAGTCAAAATAGATTTATTTATTTTGTACGATTGGAATGTTACATCATCTCATACATGTTTGCAGTCTCAGTTTATTTTTTTGAATCCGATGCCGATTCATAAAGTGAAAGTTAGACATTTATTTCACTTTTGTTGTGAATGTATGTATATTCGTCAATCGTCATCATCATCATCATAAAAACCGAAAGAGAGAGAGACATAAGTGTGAAATGAAAACATGAGCACCGAGTCAAAGTGTTGTCTGAGACACGAATAAATTCCTTTCCTTTTTCAGCTTTTTCTATTTTTATTTTTTATTGACAAAATCATTTAAAGCGACAGGTAGGCCAAAATTAAGGAGAGAGTGTGTGAAGTGAAGTGAAGTGTGAGCCCAACCACCTCTAAGCTGGAAACTTTCTTCTCTTCTGCTCCGTGACGACCAAAGATGCTTTGTCTCAAATCTGAAGCCACTCTCCATGACGATCAGACGTTAGCTTCCTCTTCTTCTTCTTCTCCCAGCATCGATCGTAGCTCCGCAAATGCCACTTTTCGTATTCCCATCACCTGGTACTCTCTAAAATCTTCTTCTTCTTTCACTATATGCTCTGTTTGACTCTCTCTCGGTTTTGCTGATGTGGCAGGGGAAGCTCGATCCGGAGGTATTTGAAGAAGACTGGTACTTTCTCAAGAAGATCTTACTCCTCTGGAGATGGCTCTCTTTATTTCCCTGATCTAGATGTAAATGTACCTCTTACTCTCCACATTTGATTTATTATTTTTGTATGTGGGTATGCAGTTAATCTAGGGTTTTCTGAGGGTTTTGGATTTGGGTGTGTTTCTTGCAGAATGAAAGCAAGATTCTGGATCAAACTAGTAGTAGATTTGAAGGAAAAAGTAGAGTTTGGTACAAGTGTGAGCTTGAACAAGATGTAAGTCTCTCAGATCCCATCTTTCAACTTTGTCTGTCACTATCATCATGTTCATTTGCTTGTCCTTGTCCTAGTGCTTGTGTTCTTAACCATCAAGTCATAAGTTTGTCTAATAAGATATCAAGTAATCTGCTGGTTTTTGTTTATCAAATATTTTTACCAATAAAAAAAGTTTGATTCTTTACTCTTCATCCTTAATTCTATTGATGTACAAACCAGTAATGGTTCTAGATTGTGTGTGTTTTGGGATGATGATACAGATTAAGAAGCTGCAGCAGCAGTTACAAGAGGAGATCAACTTACGTTTAGCTCTAACAAGTGCAGTTGAGCACTCTAGTTCCCCCTTCATGGAATCACCTTGTCAACTTCCTGATAAGGTCAGTAATCTTTCTCCGATGTTTTATTTTCTTTGTAATTGTTTAGCTTTTATCTATCTCCTATAAAAAAAAAACTTGTAAAATTTTACAGGCACAAGAGCTTTTGGACAGCTTAGCAGTACTGGAAATCACAGTGTCAAAGCTTGAACAAGAATCAGTTTCCTTGAGATATTTACTAAGGCAAGAGAAGAACGAGCGGCGTCTCACTGAGATTCTACAAAAGAAGAAGTCTCATTATTCACAACCTTCAAAGTTCACTACTGCACAAAGTTTCCCTAACAAGTTGGTATGACTCTGCGTTCAAAAGTTTTTTGTTTTTTTGTGTCTTTAAGTCTTAACGGATTATTGCTTCTGGTTCCACAGGTGACAAGGAAAAGAGAGAGTAAACAAGTGGTTTCTGTGGATGATGAAGCTTTACAAATAGACTGAAGAAGCTAAAGCTGAAGATGATGTGATCTTAGCCATAGCCGAATTGCTTGATCTATATAGTCCTTGAGCCAAATCTTTCGAAAAAGTCAAAGAGTCTTGTTAAGTTTCTTCATCACCCGGGTTTTAGAATTGCCTTCCGGGCTCAACATAACTGGTCCCCTGAGCATCGCTCCATCGAAATCTTTGAAAAAATACACAGCCCTTCTACTGCAGCTCTGTTCTATATTTGCTTAGAAAATCTGGCCATGTCCGTAGAGTAAGGTTATGCCCTGCAGGAGCAGCAATGAGAAGCTCATATATTAAAACATAGAATGCATTGTTGTTATCACTTGGCAAATCAATTGATCATTTATTCTATTGTTTTTGGGGCCTTCTACTTCTCTAGTCTTCTTGCTGTTATTTTGACTTGGACAATCGACTGATGAGAATCTTCATCAGAACACAAGGAAAGCCGCCTTAGTGTTTTTCGTGGACTCAACAGCTACAACTTAGGAACATAGATTAACCTTTTTTATTTTATGAGATTGACACCATTTTAGCAGGGTTTTGAAAACGTAATTAACATTCTATTTGTTAACGAATTAAATAATAGAAACGAGATTAAACAATCCATATTATTGATTAATAGTATTAAACAGTCCTCTAGCTGCGTGTACTTGCGTGGTCCAGAAATGGTCGATGGTGTAATAAATTTAACCAAAAAAATATTTTAAAAATAAAAGATAATTCCTATATTTTGTGCTGTTATCAGAAATAATATCCTTAATCTATTTTGAAAGAAAAAGATAAATTTCTACATATCTATACTATTATTTTTTATCAGAAATAATATCTTTAGTTATAAAAATTTATATATTAAAAGATAAAAAATATATAAATAATATTAATCAAATAAAAATCTATAAATTAATAATGATATAATATGTAAAGAATTTTCTTAATATTTATAACACATGTAAGTTTTCAAAAAAAGTTAATGCAATAAAAACCATATATGTTTTGATGAATAACTTTGTTATAAATAATTTGATATTATGTTTAAAATTTTTAGTACCGTCATCTAGATTTGAGACCGGCAATCCGGGACAAGTAAAAAAAAACGTGGATTCTACAGGTTTCATAGTGATAGTCTTTGGACCTAGTAACACTTTAGTTATGTAAAAAAGTTTAAAATTTTAAGAACATAAACAATAAATTATCATATAATATTTGAATAGTAATGTATGTATTAATAAATAATTTAAAATGTTTATTTTCGTTTCCGCGAACAAAACATCTACTGTATATTATGCAAAGTTGTATATAGCTAATTGACGGGTCTATGTAAAAATTAGAAATTCATGTATAGTTAAATAGAGGTTCTATGTAATTTTGTTTTCTATTAGTTCAAATATATTGTATCCTATATTTTTGAAGTAAATTATCAATTTATCATATGATTAAAATTAAGGAATCTCAATTCATTATGTGGGAAGGCCCTTGAAAATTAATGGGCCTTGTAACTTGTCTCTTTAGCTTGTCCACGAACCAAATCATGACCCAATGTTATACAAGTGTGAGTTGTTTCAGACCACACGCGCGATTATATCGGTTCTCAGACAGTCGATAGAATAAGTGATAGGTGATCCTTAAGGGGAAGAAGGGTAACTTCTTGGTAAGAGCACCACCAACGATCATCCCTATTGAATACCTAAGAAATAAATAAAAAAAGAAAAACTAAAAAGAAATTAGGAAAGATAGTAAAAAGTATCCTGCAGAGGTAATTTCTGGTTCTATGTAAAGACAGTTGTTTGTTAGTGGCTAAAGTTTTAGAAATAGTTACAATTTAATTCAACCCCTGTAAGTGGACAACCCCTGATAAGTTCCCAAGAAACTTATTTACCAGTCCAGTCCTATTAACTTAAAATATTTGAGATGTAACATACATTTCACTTTAAATTTTTTTATCAACAAACATGTTGAATGTTGAGACTAGCCCTCTTAGAGAGGATGAGAGGCTACATTGCCTCGAGGAAGCTCTAGAGAAGATGAAGAAGAAGGGGGTACTTGACCGTAACCTGGATCTTAACTTGATAGGTAAATTCCTTAACAAATTTTAAGTTATTGTTCATTTCACACATGCATTATCATTTTATTAACTCATGATTCGTATTTTTTGTTTGTGGCAAGCTGTTCGGACACAAAGATCGTGGTGAACTTGAACTTTTAGTGAAACTTGCACAAGGCAGTTGTTTCTCGGAATACTGGTTGGGAGGCGAAAAACCTAACGAATTTAAGGGCGTGAAGCTCCGTATGGAAGATTTCATTGTTGCATTTGGCGACATGATTAGGTGATTCTTTAATTTTGATATCATTCTTAACTTCTAGCTGGTGCAACATTCCATAACGTTGCTTCAGTTTGTTGATTTCAGCTTTTGCGTTTTTTCCATAATTGTGCATTTTTTCTTAATTTAAGCATTTTATATATTTGTCCATGCTTTTGCTGAATATAATTTCGGATCATTTTTTAGTTTGAGCCTTACTAGTTTTTCCATGAATTTGCTTCAACGATTTTTGAGTCCTTTCTAAAATTTGAGCTTTTATACTTTCCAATGATTTTGCTTTTGGTAATTTTAAAATTATTTATTAATTTGAGCTTCTAGCTGATGCTGATATATTTTCCATGATTTCAGGTATGCATCAAGAAGCTAGGAAGGAGGAGATCGTATAGCATCATCACCATGGGGATTACTTTCTAAATAAATAAATGATAAAAAAGTTGTCTCATGGTTCCATATTTACCGTATTGCACTAGACCTTTTATTTTTCTTTGTGTCTGATAAATAAAAGTTGCACTATATTTACCGTATTAGGGGTTTGCCGGCGCTACGCGCCGGTTTTGCTAATATTGATATGGCTTAGCTATGGTTTTATAATTAGAACACTGAATATGTATCGATGATATTGAGATATTAATTTGATTGTAGAATAAAAGAAATTTAAATTTAAATATATGTATGACAATTTGAAAGTGTAATAACTTAATTATTTATTATTTGACTGAAAAAATCATTTTAATTATTATTTAAGATTAATTTATAAATGTTGACTGCATCATACAATAACAATATTTAATTAGCGTTTATACATATATATTATGTTGTGAAACATATTACATTTTTCACATAATATATATCAACAATTTGAAAGCGGAAAGAGAATAGGTCGCAACGAGCATTCGGTAAAGCTAGAAAGCAACCGAAAGAGGCACAAACATGCCTAAATCTTAAATTTGATAAATCTCTGTTAGTTAGATAAACTCCATTTTTTATGTATCTTTTATTTTGCATCATCATTTGGAATCAGATGAGCTCTTCTTTTTGTCATTGTCATACTTATCAGCTTTGTATCTGTTAGCAACAACTAATTTTCCTATCTTCCTCTTGTTTTTAATTTTATAATTTGTTTACAGGTTATTGGCCTTCTTTACCTACAAAGTTTGTTGTGACATGGATATATGTTTGAAAGGATAGAACAAATATAATACACCTTACCGTGAAAAAAATAACAGATATCGAACTAATATAAACCAATACGGTTTTACCTTTGGTTTGTTAATCTTAAACTTTTACTCTTTACTACATGTTCTGCTTCTGTTTAAAAATGAAAACATTTGCAAGTTAAATAGCTTTAAAAACTGTTTATTAAATTTGCCTGTTTGTGTGGGTGATTGGTAAATTTTCAATGAACACCAACACACCGGACACATTTTATTTATTTTTTATGTACCACTATAGTGTTGTATGTATCTAAGAATCTCTCTTGTCGAAGACCAATAAAATCTAATATAGAGTCTAAGTCAAGATTAAAATAAAGATTAAACTTTGATAGATACCCTATTTACTATTTAACTTTTCAAATTACAATTTTTTTTTTGAAAACTACCATGTATGTGTAACTGGTAAGACATTTTAGTCCTAATTTTTATTACATCTAAAAACTATTAAGAACTAAAATTTAAATTCTAATTTATTATTTTTAATGTTGCAATTTATATATTTTAGAGTTTAAAAAAACTGGATAAATTTACTGAAGTATTATTACGCTTCTCTAATTTTTTTCAGCTCCAAAACTCAATACAAAATAATTTACACAACAGCATTATAATCAAATTTATATTCTTTAAAAAAATATGGAACTTCTATAGTTCAAACAAAAAACTGGAAAATAAAGGGAGAAGGAGATGTTAATAATTTGAAATCAAACAAAATAATATCGACATGTAACAATGGAGAATGGAGAAATTGTGATTTTAGTGGAATTAGAGAACACAAAAATGAATACGAATGACAATGTGTAATCATAGCCTATACTTTTATATGATTACTTGATGAATGATTGTTTTTCTTTGTTATAGAGCCAAAAATGGAAAATCTATTACTATTAAAAGGGGGATATAAGAGCCTCTCAGCTATGCTACATAGGCCAAAATATTCAACCAATCAGAAGACTCTATTTTACCACGTCATCAGAATGAATCTGTCCCAGACGCGAAACCTTTCGACGCCAACCCTCATTTCCTCGATCTCATCCTCCTCTCCGATTCATCTCGCGTTCCGGCTTCCACTGGCG